TAATATCATATGCTTTTCCTCTTTTGAAATATATTTTCTTCTTCTTTACATAATAACCTAATAACAACAGTAAATACTATGCTATTACATGTCTTTTGTGATGCACAAATGGGAAATGACATTCAGAACCTTAATACAAACATACATTTAAAATAGCAAAGTGCATGGAAGAGCAATGGATCAAAGAAAAACATCTTTATTTACATTAATGATTAGGAAAAGCAGTATCCCATCACCGCTGAAAGTACATTCTACTCTATGGAACACGTAAAGCATGTTATGTGGATAGGAGTGAACCAGCTTTGAATGTAAAATGAACAATGAAGCACACTTGGTCAAGTTTTAAGCTTTTCCGCGGGACCTTTATTATGTGTTTTATATTATTTTAGTAATGAATATATCATAATATAAATCAGACAGAACCAAAACACAGTGTGACTTCTCTAAACCTCTGGGGCACTAGCGTTGGTTGTTTCTGTAAATGTATTTCCCAAAAGTGACTCAAACATAAATAGAACGACCAGGTTTGGTAATTTCCTGAAGTATTTATTAACAGATGTTACTAAAACATAAGGAAATAGAATATTTGTTGGCTACTATTTTCAGTGGCGGAATAATCCAGATGTGGTGCGATCTTGTTGTGAATATTCAGGGCAGCAGGACTTTTTTCTTTTTACATTGGACTTGGTAAATATGAACTATATCGTGTTTAATAATGAAGGAACAATGCAAAGGTGTGGCTCATTGATGTGTAAGTAATAGTTTACGGTACAGTACAATAAGAGGGAAGGATTATGGCAAACATAAACATAGAATGTAGCATTAATTGTAATTTGTAGTAGCCAGTTGCACAGTGTGCTTGTTTTAAGAAATAGTAGTCCAAAAAAAGACTTATGGTAAGACAGGGAGAAATATTTACAATGGCCTTACCCTAGTTGAAAACAGCAAGAGAACCGAAGAAAAGACAGTCTGCAGACACACAACAGTGATAGCAATAGACCAACTAGTGTGAATGCTCAATGGTCTGTGTGTGTGTGTGTGTGTGTGTGTGTGTGTGTGTGTGTGTGTGTGTGTGTGTGTGTGTGTGTGTGTGTGTGTGTGTGTGTGTGTGTTGTAGAGAGAGAGAGAGAGAGAGAGAGAGAGAGTCTAGTCAGACTGGTATATCTTCAAATGAGATCAGTGCTTATTGACTGAACTCTCTTATCTCTAATCTGCGTGGTAAATTGCCTCGGTTGCTTCTTCTCTTCACACTCCCCCTTTCTTCCTGCGCTACTGACTCCCCTCTTTACGATCCCATCAGACACAGCAGGCCCAGATGCTATTTACTGGTGGGGAAGTGTGTGTGTGTGTGTGTGTGTGTGTGTGTGTGTGTGTGTGTGTGTGTGTGTGTGTGTGTGTGTGTGTGTGTGGCTGTGGGAGAGCGAGTGAGATTGGTGGGTATGCTTGGGCGAATAAGGGAGGGTTGCTCTTAGCATATGTCTCCTCAGCATTTCAGGGAGTGCATGTTGGGACCAGACCATTCATTTGCTAATATCATTGATATATATCATTGACTGATATCAGCTTCAAGTTAATGATTCATACCCACATTTCCTCTCAGTAAATTGAAGGAGCTGTATCTCTGTGGACTAGCATATGTGTTCATTGGATAAGTGTCAATTCCTGAAGTGGATACATGACACAACCAATGCATGTATTATTTTCTGAACTTTGTCTTATTTGCCATTAACAGTAACACTTAGGTGAGTGATGTAAAAATGACATTGCTGATAGTTATCTAATGATACCCCAATGTTGGTTTACGTGTATGTTTCATGCTATTAAAGATAAACATTTTCTGGTTAATTGTGGCACAACATAATAGGTTGTTAAGCAGACTTCCGTTTACATATCTTTGAAATTATTTAAATGAATTAACATCACCGTCTCGGGCAGCTCTGGGGCCTGTCCTATTACATTTGAAACATGCAAGCTGTGAATTTCAATACAAGATCATTTCCTCTTGCATGAATTTTGACACATTTAACTAATTCAGATGAACACCGTACTTGTGTTCCATGCATGAGAAAGGGCTAAAGGACTTGCAGGTCATTGTACATTAATGGAATTCTAATTTGTTTTAATGATTGAAAAGCAAGCCCCAAGTGCAGAAAATCCATAACTCAATATCTTTTGTTCAGTTGGTCAAGAAATGGGCATTTTTTGGTGTTTATCAAGCTACTTATTTAATTTGTATATTGCCTTATGTTACACTTCCAACACTGGGCTTCTCATCCTTTTCCCCCTTTATTATCTTATTTTGTAATTCTTAAAATCCCGGTCATTAGCGATTTGTCTTTGTGTCATGTGAATAACAGCAGGAAATGTTGTTGTATTCTATTTCTAAGATTGTACTGAAATGACTAAAACAATGAACTAGTACTCCTACATACTAGTTTAAACCAGTTTGGTTTTTAGTGACGTGCGACTATTGCAGACTGTAGCTGAAACTATACAAAACATTTTGATTTACGCTCTATTGTGTGCTTCTAATATTTTGTGCTTGTAATATTTTGTATTGCTTGCATTTTGGGATCTATATATCCTTGTTTTTCTTTACACCCAAAGTGATGGCCTGAATTTGTGGGTGAAGGAGAACATCACAAGTCTGTTTCCTCAGAGTAAAGACAGATGACTGAGACAGAGAGGAATCGATACGGAGATACAGCAGGGTTTCCTCCCTGGATCTACACCTGTCTCCATATCGGCCAATCTATACCAAAACAATAAGAATCCTCCAGTGAAGCTCCTACAGTAATCCACTGTCAATGCTAACAATAAACAAATCCAAAGAAATGTGAAAAGCTTACTTAATATTTATATACAAAGAAAACTTATATCGATATAGACGCCCGATAACTTATAACTTATCTTTCCTTTAACTTTTGCCTCTAATCGAACAGTAGACAATGAAGATGTATTTGTTTTATACTGAACATGTGTTTAGTTTTCAGAGGTATTTCATGATCTGGTAAACATATATGTTGAGAAAGTGATAGTAATAGTAAAATGGTAAAACGTATTGTATCTGAATCAGAATCTGCTGAATTGAATCGGTCAAATTGAATGAATTGTAAGAATCAAATTGTTTTAATTTGAATTAGGGTGACACGTTTAGATTTTCGCTAACGCTGGATATCACTGGGTTCAAAAGTTATTGTTAGCTATGCCAAGAAATTTGATTTGAAATTTGATGCCAAGAAAGTAGCTAACTGGAAAAATAGGGTGAAACACAATGCAATTCAGTCATCAGCCTATTGTAGACCAAACCAGAGCTAAAAGGAGTGGGAAAGTCTGACTTTTTTTCACGAGGTGGACACAAATGACAAATTAATAATATTGTGTTTCTCTGTTTTGTGGGTGTTTGTGTAGACAATTGTTATGGCTAACAAGTTAGCCTGGTAAACGTGTTAGCGACATCCTTTAGTATACTTTATATTGTTCTGCACTCCAATGATCATGGTATTGAGATGTCTTTTTTAAACTAAATTCTCACATAGTCTTCCTATGGAGTCAAAACTATGTATCAGTATTCCTCCATATATGTGTCTAGATCAAATATAGGATTATTACTTGGTATGTGCTGGACGTGATGAGAGTGAGAAAAGAATGTCGTTTTCTCCTATAAAGCTTTTCAGCAGTAATGGGATACCTCCTGCCTCTGGCACTATGCCAACGATCAATGGGCTCACACGGCTGCCTATTCTGACAGTGGCTGCCATAGCTCTTGCATCACACCCTGCTATACATCACTTCCTCATGCATTCAGATTCGGTAATACATCACGCTCCTCCTCTCACCTTCTAGGTTATAAAATGCATCACTTCCTGGTAGCAGTTTCACCTTTAGGTGTGAGTCCCATTGGGTCAGGCTGAAAATCAGCTCTATTGGCTCACTTAGAATTGAGCCAGTCTCTAAGGGGTGGAATGGCTGTATCATTTATTTAATAAATCCAATGTGCCATGTGTTGTCCAAACAGTAATTGCTGAACATTTTAATGTATATAATTCTAGTTGCCATCACTGTGAACCCAGAAATGTTGAGTAGCCCAAAGTTTTATGTTAGAAATGTACAGTATGGGTCCCCAGCATATTGAAACTGCCGGATAATAACTTGCATAATGTTGAGCAATTTGCACAAGTACCATACGTTGAGTTAGCTAGCATTAATTAGCGTTATAGCCCACATGTGGACAATAGTTACAAAATGGCTTGGCAGATTTGGACAAAATCAGTCCATCAGCAGTACAAATATGGCCACTTTCTGGATAAAACCGCCAATGTTGATTCTGAAAATGTCAAAATTGCATCAAGCATCCTCAGTAACCCCTCAAAAATGTTCCAAATCGGCCAAGCCATTTTTAACTATTGTCCACATTGGCTATAATGTTAATTAATGCTAATTAAGGCAACTTATGCCAATTTTGTGCAAATTGCTTAACATATGCATGTTAGCATTCGGCAGTTTCGATGTGCTGGGGAACTGTACTTTACATTTCTAACATAAAATGTTGAGGTACTCAACACTTCCGGGTTCACAATAGAGCTCTGAGCTGGCAAACTATATGGGGAAAATGAGTTATTGAAACAATGAAGGTAGGGAAATAGGATGGAATTAAAAGAAGCACAAAAAGCCACCCCTAAGAGAGTTGTGGTCCAAAGAGTGAGAAGGAGCGAGACTACAGTTTGTCTACATTGACATTTGTTGTCTATTTTAACACTATACAGACATGTCAATGCAAATACATTCAATTAAAAACAAAAGAGTAACAAAATCTTCTTTTAAAAAAAAAGGTACATTACATCAATAAATGACAATGAGACACTCTGAAAATAGGGGAGCAACTTGAGAGTGATTTGCAGTTCATGGTCACATTTGTCACCTGGAAGCATTTTTTTTTTTTTCCATGAAGAGAGTGAAGATGATCATTTAGTCATTTCATTTGTTGCTGTTTTTTGAGTGTCTGTTTTGCGGGAGAGCAAATGGGGCGTGTCTCTCTCTTTCTAGTAGGGAGTGAAGCGACTGCACCCTCCTCTGTAAAGGCTAGCCTGCAACATCAAAGATGAAAAAGCTCCAATCAGTATTCAATGTAGAACCTTTGTAATACTATTATTAGAAATTAACTTCTCTCTTTCCTCCAAAGAAACGTTCCTCCCTTTTTCCAATCGTTTTTTGTTTAATTAATACATTGGCAAGGAAACATTACAAGCTAGATTTTAAAAGTAGTAACTTCTGACAGTGCAGGGCATGTGTGCAAAACGTTCAGCTTTTTTGCCATTCTAATAATGTTTGAATGAAACATTAGCGACCCTAGAACTGCTACTTGGCATTAAGCCTGCCACACATTTGCCATACAACAAGCTCTCTCTCCAGTGAATCCACAACCAAATCATTACAACAAACAATGCTCTCAACCCTTTGCATTCAAACCTTCCTGGCTTTACTGTAAATACAACTGTGTCTGAAACACTCTCTATTGAGGCTCTGCTCAGACCAAACTTATAGCCGGATAAGGACGTAAATATTTGACGATTCTTCCAACCTCAGATCATATTCAATGACAACGTCCAATACGCAAAACTAAAACATCCTACAATCCACAATATCCAGGTATGATGAAAAGGTACGATTAAAATAGTACCTCACATATCTAGCATTATACTCATGTTAAATATTGTCATAACATTGTCGATTTGACAGTTAGAAAATAAAGATTTTAAGAGATTCAGGTGTGTTATCCCATCCCTGTCTCCTAAGAATGACGTTTCCATTCAACAAAACTGCATTCTCAAAAACGTTTCAAGGTAACTCAAGTATTTGTTTTAAACACGTTAATGTTCTGAATTGGCACAAAATGAATTGGTTTGGTTAAACGGATGCTGATCTGATTAAAAATATGTATGTTTATTATGCTAAATATTAGTTTGACAAATCCACCCACTCTGACAGGCTCCCTACACAGAGTCTGCATTGGAAACATATGTGTGACATTTCAAGAACAACATATCCTCTTATGTGTAATTGTCAATGCAGTTTTGTTGTATGGGAACATATTATTTTTCCTTTATCAGTTGATGTAACTTTGAGCCTCTAGACTCAAGCAGACTTAGTAAGGCTAAGGTTAGGGAAAGATTATGGTTAACATTAAATGGAAGGTGAGCGTTACAATTCTATCTCACTGATGGGACATCAGACTCTGGTCTTTTGCATGAGAGTTCAATTTGACTCTCTATCTCCCTACAAAAACAACACACCACTTTGTGCATTGAAAACAAATGTCAGCATTGGACCGAACTTGTGAAGTTTAGAATTGTCAAATATGGATAGATTTGTACGACACTTGACCCTTGATAACACTGTGTTAAAGATTCCTGCCACCTCATTCATATCAACAATAGCCTTTTATGAACAAATCCACTCCGTTAAATCACACCCATCTGTAGCATCACACCTACACCAACTCCAGTATTTATAACTCAGCCTTGTCCACAAAGCCTGCAACCAGATTCCTTACATATTTCCACAGGAGTCAGGCAACTCCATCCCATAATGTTGTATCCTGCATACATCTGAAATTCTATACATAGCACCAACTTGTTTCCCTTTATGTAGAGGATTGTTAGACCAAACCACACAAGGCAAGATGGTGTGGATTCATTTTGATTAAAGAAATTCCCCTCAAAAGAAGTTTGGGGAACAATATCCTACTCATCCAACCCATTATTCTACCTTAGAATCACAACTAGACCTGACACCTGATTTGGTCTTATAAAGTTTTGTTTGAGGCTACATTTCACAATGTGCCCCATCATAAAGTTTAAGTTACATTGAATATTAGGAAAACATTAATAGTGAGAAGATTGGCTATAGTAGGAGGGCGAAAAAGGGAGGAGTAATTTGAAGAGAAAAGAGAATAAAATGTAATAAGGTGGAAAACAGAGGCCACTTTTTTGATTAAGTAAATGAAGAGGACATTTTTCGATATGAAGCGGGGGAGATGGTAGGGCTTTCCACTTCCATCATCACAAGCACGTCAGCACTTAGCATCAACCCTTATCTCATCCGTCCAACATTTTGCACCAAGCAGCAGCTTCAGATGCAATTGGTTTGCTACCAAGAACTCTCATTCTCCCTCTCTTTCCCCTATTTCCCTTCATTTGTGATCTATCTCTCTCTCCTACTTTAATCTCCCGTGGCACGTCAAAGCATTTACTGGATGGTCGTTAATCTTTGGAGGAAATCCCTACCCACACCCACGAAATAAAACAAATTGTACTTTCAGTTTTCATCTTTGATGTTAGCTGCAAAGCTAGCTAAAAACAAACATTAACTATTCAACCCAGCTCCCTTTGCAAAATTTGAAGAGACTGTTTTTTTTTCCGTTTTGGGAGGAACTCTCAGTCTCAATTGGATTTCAAGCAAGTAGCTTACAGCCAATCAAATTGGATGGGGAGTTTGAGAATAAGGCCATATCCCCTTTTTCATTCACTGAAGTGGCAAAGATTCACATTAAACATTATTAAAATGGGTCTCTCAGAGGAGACACAACACATAGGAAAAACAAAGCGTAAAAAAAACCTATACAATATAATAGCGTCAGCAGATGATCTGATTTAAGTTATTAATTTACAATTAGCAGTTCATTTAGTTCAGTAGCTCACATACAGTATATGGACCAGAACATTTTGTTTTCATGTAAAATGTGTCTCCTGTAAAGTTAAACATCCATTTTCAAGGTACTGGGTGCTGAAAAAGCTCCAGGTCATCTCATCACATTCAGTATTGCACATTGACAGTCAGCAGCTAAGAAACAGGAAACACTCACCATAGTCCCCACACTGTAGGTAGCTGCAGGACCAATCGCATGGTGATATGGGTCTGCTGTTGCATAGACTCTGCCATAACTACAAAGAAGAAAACATGCAGGAAAAAAGGGTTCACCATGAGAATTAGTTATACACTTTGTGATGTTTGATAGACAAATGTAAATAATCACCATTCACGGATATATTTCAAACATCATTGTCTCTATGGGAATTGCACAATGTTTGACTCAAATAACTCACTCAGAAAGGGGCAACATGTTAGAAACTGTTCAACCACACACAAAAAAACCCTCTGCCCCCTGTCTTGTCTCAAAGTCCATTTTCTACAATATGAAGGCATGGGTGGATCAGCTTGAAAGAGGGCCGTTGGGCAGATTTGGGTTGTGGGCTCCTCCAGCACCCCTGACTCTCCTGCTATCATTATATCTTGTAGGTTTCTATAACCTTTAAGTATCCTTAAGGTAACCACAGCAGCAAACAGCAGACTTCTCAAAAAAAATCTTACATACGGTATTTGTATAAAGAATGGTGCACCAAGGAATCTGAACGTTAAAACAAATGTATAAAGGTTATAGATCAATGCATCCAACACCAATGATATGTGTTGATACAGTTCTAAGTATGGTTCCAGATGGACGGTTTACATTCAAAACACAATTAGTTTGAATTGTATTTTAAAACTTTAAAGGGGCCCTATTATACTTTTGGGGTTTTCTTTTCCTGTAGTGTGTTCTTTAGGTTTTTGTGCATGTGAATGATCTGCTAGGCTAAAATCCCTGAGTCCCCCGCCGCCCCACCCCAGACAGAGGGTGAAAAGGGGTGCTACAGGCAGTTTGAGAAAAAAAAAGAGCTGTTTGAACATTAAAGCATGGAGACATGTCACAGTAGAGACACGACATACTGATATGAACCTGGACATGAGCAGAACAGGCCCCCTTTAAATGTAGAGATCTAAATGTTATTCCTAACTTTATTTAATGATGTGAATAACTCCCAACAGATACAGACAGCTTGGCAGCTATGGAGTTAGTTAGAGCAGCAGATTTATGATCAGAGTGACATTTTGACTTATGCCCCAAACATAAAACTATATAGATTATTTGAACCAGTACAAATCAAAGGAGAATTTAATCAGTCGGGAAATACTCTGTTAATTGTTTCCCCTTTCCCCAACTCCAACCACCAGACATAAACCTTGTGCATGTTGGCTTTGATGGAATAGGCCTGAGAATGGATAGGGAGTGCCAACCGGCCACAATGAGTATGCATGAGACACATAAGGTATTAGGTCGTCGATTTTAACTGGGGTCCGGAGGAGAGATCTATAATCATTTCCTCCTCTCACTCACGCTAAGAACAGGCCTATTGGATGAAAATGCAATCGATGTCTCCCTATAAATGTACGTTGTAAAGGTGAGAGTGTGTGATTGCAATGATTTGTTTTACCCGTTTCAATTTATGAGAAAAAGGGGACAAGTGTTTTATCTTCCAGATGATGGGGAGGGATTGCGATAAAAGTAACATCAGCCCGAATAAGAAAAAGAGAAAGATAAGAAAAAAGAATTGGGCAGATAGATGGCTGAGCGGGGGGAGCAATAAGATTATGAACAAGGAGAACAATTAGAAAAATCATCCTTTGGGATTGGGGAAACATATATGGGTTTGTGAAGACGAAAATATCTTTGAAGGGAAAGGTAGGGGACAAAAAAAGAAGAACATCATTATGGTTAGAGCCAGTTCTTCTCTCTGTTGGTGTCCCACACCTTTTCCCCTTGTGCCATCTTCTTCTTCACCTCTTCCTCCCCTCTAACTGCCATCTCCGCATTTGTCTCTCTTTTTGTCTCTTGGGGCTTATTTCCAGTCTTTTCACAAGCACTGGCTTGGAACTAATCCTCCACGTCCCTCTCTTTTTCTCATTCCAACTCTCCATCCCTCCTTCTATGATGCCACCAGACTGCTTTATTTATATTCCTCTATTCCTGTCTGGTTTGTTTATTCTCCTCTAAAAGAAAAAGGGAAGCCAACGTAGGTCTGGAGGGCAAAGATAAGAGGCTGCGGGGATGCACCACCATGTGTTACAGAGGGAGAACCAAGGGAAGGATGGAAGCTGGGCGTAAATGGAAGGAGGAAGGAAGGAAGTTAACGGCTGCAAAATATATTTCCGTCAATGATCAGTTGCTATCATTTCTGCATTAGTCTAGGTTCAATCTGTTCAATCAGTGCAACTCACTCTTTCTGTGGAAATAGTACAACATACTTCCCTAAATAAACACAAACACATGTCCATAAAGCTGCTTAGAAGTCATAGAACAATGACATATTCAGGGACTGTGAAACAAGAACTGCTATCACGTTTGACTTTTCAAAGCATGGATAAAATCCTAGAAATTGAAACCCTAAAAAAATACTGTCTCCATGGGTGTGAGTGTTCAAAGCTAGTACCATTTGTTGCTTTGTAGCGATTTGTAGTGATTGTGCTAAAGGTGGCTAGCATGGTGGTCGGAACATCGGCTATCCACACTGAAATCAGGGATAAACCAAAGAGACGGAGAGGAAAGCTGGGACCAAATGTATCGAGAAAAGGAGATATATTCTGTGTCATCATGGGCAACCGTAAGCTAATAATCGAGAAGCTAACAGGCTTAGCTCAGACGAAAAATCTGGAATGTAGTTTATTTTGCTTTATGGAAACATGGCTGAATCCAGGATATATCTGACAACAACGTATCCATCAATGGCTTCCGGATTGTTCCGACAACGTTTCCATCAGCTACATTTATTTTGATGGCTTCAGGAGTGTTTGGCTCGACAAGGATTACATAGATGCTTCACCATTACTTCAGCATGTGAGGGTCCCTTTGCTGTGGAAAACCTCCTGCCTCATTCCTGAGCCTCAGACGCTTTGTCCCTGTGGCTACAAGGACCTTTATTGCAATTTTTTTTAACTTAAATGTATGCTTATATACATGTATTTATTTCATTTTAATGCAGTGCAACTGTCAAACCACTATGCTCGCCAACTTTAGCACGATCACTTCTTCCTGGTGTGAACAAATATCACTAGCATTGACCTTTAACACCCACACCCATGGAGACACTTTTATTTAAGGATTTCAGTTTCAATTTCTAGGATTTTATCCATACCATGAAAAGTCAAAAGGTAAAAGCAGTTCTTGTTTCACAGTCCCTGGAATAGTATTTCGTATGTTTGATTGAAATTATGGAAGAATAATAACTTGATGGTGATGGTCAGTCCTGGTTGCCTTTTTTGCTTACTCGTACCTTTAAATGTAGACAGTGGTATCCTGTGTGTGTCTAAAGGGACAGTATAGAGGCACTCCCTACAAAACCTCTCTTATCCCCCAATAAATATAACTCCTCCACCTCCACCAGCCTCTGTCCCCTCTGCTCTGAACTCCACCTCTCTGCCTGGGCTTCCCTTTAAATCAGGAGGGCTTATAAAAAAAAGAATGAGAGAGACACAGCGGGGAGAGTTATACTAAACATCAGCCACAACGAGAGTATGAATAACGGTAAGAGTGAGAAGGAGGGAATGTGTGAGAGGAGGAAATAAGGGAATTAAATAGGTCTTGTTGAGAGACGTGCCCTCTCACCTCTTCTCCGCTGCGTTCATAATCCTCCCGAGCACATCGCTTGCTCCTTGCCTCTGATAAATCGTACATTATCGGAGGCCTACAGGCTACCGCTGTGGCTGTTTCTTATCAGGTCTGACATGCTCAATCTCCCTAAGATTAGCTCTCCAAGCATACACACACATCTAGACGGCTAACACACTAGAACAGGGGTCTCAAACTCAGTTTAGCTCAGGGGCCACATACAGCTAAATCTGATCTCAGGAGGGCAGGACCATTACATTCATAGCATAATAACATATAAATAAAAACAATTCCAAGTCACTGTTATCTGAAACCGAACAATGTAGTATTTCACTTTATGATCCAAACAGCTTGTCAAGATGTAGAAATGATTTGACATTGAACTGACACACCAGCATACACATTAAAGTGTGAACTATTAAGGAAGAAGTTATCCCCCTGCCTTGTTCATTTATAAAATGCATACATACAAAATACATAAAAGTTGTGTAAATTGCAGCTTATGTCTTCTCTGTAAATGTTACACTTTGCAAAGTCATCCCGCAGGCTGGATTGGACCCTCTGTAAGCGATCAGAGGTGAGGGAGAAACATTTAGCTCTGAAGGGAATGATAATCCAAAGATGGAGTGGATCAAGTTTCCCGTTCCGTTTACAACTGCTATCCTACAGGTGAGTCTCCGTGGAGGTTATTGGGCTGTTTACAGGCGGCTGTGGCTCAGGAGGTAAATGGGCATCTACCAATTAGAGGGTCAGTGGTTCAAGCCACTGAAGTCAACATGTCCGTGGTCAAGATACCCACATTTCTCTGGTGCGCATGTCTGTGGTGCTGTGGTGTATTGAAAAACATCAGCTTATTGACATGTAATGTACAGAATGGAAATAGGTGTTTATATAACCAAACTGTCATAGGTACTCCCTAACTGCCGACTGGGGAGCACCCAAAAGAACCACTATGGTTGTTTTTGAGCTTGCATTAGCTGCAGCAGCTCTCACTTGTTCTTTGGCTCAGTGGGTGTGGGATCATAAAACAGTGAACTCCTGGACTTCACTGTGGGCCCTTTCTCCGTGCTTTCCGTCACTTTTCTTTGTGCTGTGTGCTGTTTACACGGCTAACAGTGTTTTTGAATTATTTGTTGCTGCTGCTGCAATGGCCAGTTTGGCAATTCTCCGTACAGTTATCTCACTCATGGTTCGTCATGTCTCATGTTGGGAGAGTACCTTCTCCAAAATAGGATACAATTCTTTCAAAACGGCAAAAGAAAAAAAGATGTTCACCAGTGGGGTATTCACTGATGTATTGTTATCATGTTGTGTATATATATATATATATATATATGTATAACATAACGCAAACATCTATTAAGCTTGTGTTAACCACGGACCTTATTTTAGTCTTCTAACCAAAAACATGTTCAAAAAACTGTTGACTTTAAGTCAAGGGAACTGAAAGGGGGAAATGCTAACTTTGTGGGTTTTAGGCTATGGTTTTAGGACTCATTCTGGCACCAGACTATTATATGTGTTATACCTGCTTCTATTAGATCAAACTGCATTCAAAAAGAGATTACATCTAAAGAAGCTACTGCTGCTATTAACACACAACATTTATAGTTTTCAGTCTCTGTTGTTTCTCTACAAGACGTCACAACATTCAATGTCGGGTTTCCCTTCTTTTAGTGCGTGAGAGGGTTTTTAAACTGAGCATCCACCGATCAATACATTCCTGGTAGGGTTTTGAGGCAGCTGAGGTAAGGGGTACCCTCAAAAGTAATGTTGAAATGCAACTAGTCACTATTATGAAGATGTAAACAGAGTACTTTTTAGTGACACTCAGAAGTAAACAGCCCACATACCTGTCACTGTACGCAGCTGCAGCAGTGCCAGCTGGCTGGGCATATCTGTACGCTGCATACCCGCCCTGAGGAGAGACAACAGGTTCAATACCACCTTGAATCAGAAGCATGAGATCCACCAAAGTGAAAGCGCACATACGACAAGGTAAAGCATATGTTGACAATCAGTACCAAACAGTTTTGCTATAGTGAATAACTTCGTGAAGATTGAATAAAAATGCTTATAAAATTGTTTTACTTACATATATTTCTGCACCATAAAAGCCATCCTGGTAGACCACACTGTGGACAGAAGATGTCAAATGTAAGGCATTGAAGTAAGGGGCGCTGCACTCAACGTCGTTTCTCTGAGCAATCTGCCATTTCTTTGTGCCACTTTTCAGAAAAATACCGGAGACATCAATATAGAAACGGTATGAGAAGTTTGTTTTTCACTACGCCTTCTAGACGGAAACTACCTATCTTCATATCGCTCAGTTTGAAGCTAGATCACATTGAAACCAAGCAGCACAACATTTTTTAATCAATGAATTACCCTTAACCACTAACATTAACCCTAAAGAAACATGTTATTTAGTTTAAAATGCAAACGGCTGAATAAAATAAAAAAACATATATATTATCAGCACAATGAATGACTCATTCAGTAGTTCCATATGGTCAAACAGCACCATTCATTCATTACTCTTCCCTCATCCTCCTGCCTTTCCTCCCCCTCTTCCTCTCATTGTATTCTTTCTAACGCAGCACGCTCCTTTATTCTCCTTCTCTCTCTTCATGTCTGACCCTCTCATTTCACTAGGTCTCTCGCCCCCCCTGCAGCGGGCCCACTGGAGTGTGCCGAGCAGGTCACAGCAGTCCATTCACAGCCGAATAAAAAACGACACATTAGAAAAAAGAGAGACACATTTGGCCATTCTAGAATCAAACAGCAATTTTCCGCTCTATTAGAAGGCAGCCTTTTTGTTTTCCCTCTCACCATTCTTCTGTTACTGTGTGTGTATGTGTGTGTGTGTGTGTGTGTGTGTGTGTGTGTGTGTGTGTGTGTGTGTGTGTGTGTGTGTGTGTGTGTGTGTGTGTGTGTTGGCTTATGTGTTTGAGTAACTCCAATTCAATTTTTGCAGTAGCATGTTTTCAGTCTTGGAGACGTTTCATACACTGTTTATTTAATTATGTGTGTTGTTGTAGTGTTCTAGGTGTGTGTGTGTGTGTGTGTGTGTGTGTGTGTGTGTGTGTGTGTGTGTATGTGTGTGTGAGCAGTCACTCACGCTCCATAGGCAGGGATGGGTGGAGGAGGGGGTGCAGCACGGAATGTGTTGTAGACGGCGCGACCCCTCCCTCTCAAATGGGCACCTCTGTAGGCCACAGCTGCTCCTGTGCTGGGGTACGGGAACCCTGTCACTGAGGGACACACGTAACACACACAATATGTTACTTTTTATACTAAGTTACATCATTTTCATGCATAGTCACACAAAATGTAAAGAATATGGCCGTCAGAGGAGGAAGAAGGACTGAAATCCTCTACTTAAGTTAATGTAGAAATGTGAAGTTTTTCAAATTTCAAAGGTCGTTAATTCCAAGTAAAAGTAGATAAGTATTTTTATTTAAAGGGTACGTCTGGAGTGGTTTTGGAAGGTTCCAGATCACTATTTTCAATAAAATGTATAAAGGAAAAGAAGACAAGATCTGTCCCTCAAATCTATATCTTTCTAAAGGGCAACACACACTTAGACTGCTCTCTGTAGTGATTATTATAGATCCAACGTCCTCCCTCTGTGTTTGTGCTCTGATGCACACTAAGGGAATGCTGCATGGGTTGGAGTGAAACTGTCCCGGATCACAGTTGAATTATAATGCCTGGGGACAATGCGTTTTATTAAATAGCAGTTTTAGACATAATATTGAATTTTATTGTGCAGTCACTCTAAAATTAAATATGTTTTTCAGAATAATTGCTGATCACTCACTCTAAACAGTTACTATGTGTAGAAACTGTTTCCCATGTCTTTTTAGAAAACACATAGAAAGCATATTCCCACTGTTGTGCCTTGCAGGTAAATGTTGGAGGACTCAAAGCCTTTTTAAAAATGTAATGGTCTTAGTTTAATCAATAATGTAGCTCACACACCAATTTACATCAAATATAATAACCTGGAAGATCATGTTAACACGACAATAATTACAAATGGAAAGATTGATTGTGTTTCTATATCATGAAGAAAAGTTCTTTAATGATCAGAAAAAGTCTGGTTTTCATTAAAACGCTCAATCACATTTCGTATTGCAAATGTGAATGTGCGATCTTCAGACAAGAACAACTTAACATGATATAGGAACATATAAAGAAGGATACAGGACTAGGAATGATGGAGGGGGGGGGATAAGGAGGTGAGCTGGCAGTAAAGAGGAACAGAGAGCAGGTGGAGGTCGGCTCAGAGTTTGGCAGCAGGGACACAAAGCAGATGGCCTTATTGTTTGGAGAGGCAGATTCAGCCTGAGGCCATCCTTCATCACACACACACACACACACACACACACACACACACACACACACACACACACACACACACACACACACACACAGAAACACACCAGGATCACCCCTGCAGACACGGGGTGGCATGATGATGGGATGTGAGCTGGTTCAGCTGAAGGTCCCTGTTCAACCTTCAGTCAACAAGGGGAGCAAGGCCCACACACACACAACACACACCACACACGCACGCACGCACGTACGCACGCACACGCACACACACACACACACACACACACACACACACACACACACACACACACACACACAAACACACAGAGCATGGTCTGTGGTCAGGCTGTGTGCTGTGTACCATAGAGCCAAAGGACAGGTTTGTATTCAAGCAAAACTTCTCTCTGTGTCACTGTCAGTGGGGGCTTTGGCTAAGGGTTATAATCTTATGTACATTAATAGCCAACGTCCATTCAACGATGTGCATGCATCCCCTTCTGACACCAACACACCGACACACGTGTGTCACAGCTTCGTCATTGAGTCAGTAATCTTTGGCACAAATAAAGTGACACTAAACTCATTTTTTTGTTGTTGTGACACACACACATTCTACTGAAGGGCTACTGAATTTCATCGTCTTCTAGTTGTTGACCTTTTGTAAATGTTAAATTTGCTGTGGATACTTATGCATCCCTATCAATGTTTAGATCAGACACTGATACCTGCTGAAGATGTATTGTTAAAAAGCTCAAGATATACTCAGTGTCGACGTAAAAACAAAAGTTTATGCAGGAGGCAGCTGGGGGAAAGGAAATGAAAAAGTATGTGTGTGCCTGCATCTCCCAGGCTAAATTCACGAAATCGACTCTGATGTCCTCACACATCTTTTGTCAAAAGTATTTCCCTCTCCCTGACCACTAAGTGCCTAACCTGAACCTCACAGCCCACTGCTGCTCACTGTAATGCAATGTGTGTGTTCATTACATCTGTGTTCTGAAGAGACCCTCTTTAAGGAACAGTTTACATTACATGCACAGTATAAACACAGCAAAATAGATGGATGGACCGTTTTCTCCTTTTTGTTTCTCTTTAGGTAGAAACTGGATCGTGTGATCTTCTACATGTCTGTCTGTATAATGAAGACACACACACACACACACACACACACACACACACACACACACACACACACACACACACACACACACACACACACACACACACACACACACACACAGTCTACTCTGTACCTTCTCNGCAGATGCTTGCTTGTGAGATGTAGGATAGCAGCAACAAAGATGGAGAATAGTGTTGGAGCGATGACACATCCCTGTTTGACTCCTGTGTCGACCCGGAAGGGTTCAGTTTCGTCTCCACTGCCACTGAGTACCGTGGCTGACATATTGTCATGCAGCAGTCTCAGTACCCGGACGTATTTTTCTGGGCAGCCAATCTTTGCCAGTACCAGCCAGAAGGCCTGACGGCTCACTGAGTCGAAGGCTTTGGTGAGGTCTATGAAGGCCATGTATAATGGTTGATTTTGTTCTCTGCATTTTTCTTGCAGTTGGCGAGTAGTGAAAATCATGTCTGTAGTGCCTCTGTTTGGGCGAAATACACTGAGACTCAGGAAGGATGCTTCACACACACACACGCACGCACGCACGCACGCACGCACGCACACACACACACACACACACACACACACACACACAAATATGACTACACATGCATGATTTTAAATCACCAAGGCCATGAGTGCAAGTCCCTCTTTCACAATTAGAATAATTTTTTTGTATAATTAAAGATAAATGATAACATAGAAATAAAAAAATACTTTTAATAGAACATATACCCAAAATGTAACACCTGATTGACTTGCTTATAAAATAATAATAATAATAATAATAATGTATTTTAGCCATCTGCAGTCTGCTTAAACAATCAACTGCTAGATTTGATGTTAAACATTCTGAAAAATCATTCTTCTCATTTTGTCCTGCTAAAATTCATAATCTAACATGGAAAGAGGTCGCATGAAGACATTTTCAATGTATGTGCCTGATTAATATCTTGTTACAATCATGCCAAGTGTGTTAAGTGTTAACTGTGAATGTGTAAAATTCATAATTATATTAAAAGTGTTCAGAGTTATTTTCTGTGCTCATAGAATGAGCCCAAATTGGTTTTGTAAAACAGATGAAGTTATTTTCATGCATTTACCATGATGTGACCTTTAACCTTAGTTTAGCTTCTTACCAACATGTAACAATGGTATCTCTAATCCACTTCTCTGTCCATTAACCTCTTCATTTAGCATGGTGAAGTTCACAACTTGTTTGATAGCAACAAGCGATCAGGAGTTCAAACAGATCACATCAATACTATGCATTTATACATCATTTAAAGCTAAACTGGCAAATGCATACTATGGATTAGCATCAATGTCTGTCCACATACTCTATTGATAACTAGCTAGCTGTTGAAACCACTCGACGGTCAAAATGAATTAAAGCATCCGACCATACAGTCAAGAAACATATACTCAAACATAGCAGACAATAAGGGCAGTAGAGTGTCTTCCAGTGAAACCTGTGGGCTGTGAACTCAAACAGATGCCTTAAAGGAGTCCTGTTAAACTCCAAATGTACTGCCCCACCTCCCAGCACCTCCACACCTCTGAGAGGCTCCGTTATGGATGAGAGCCCTCCCTGTCTGCGGCAGGAGAGAGAAACACAACATGCTCCACTGTAAGTGCTCAGGGACAGAACCGTTCCGTCTGCCTCTGCTCTCCATCCATCTCCCCCCGTCTCTCTGTGTTGGTGATGGAGATCCCCTGCCCTCTGCTGTGTCTGCTCCTTCCTGCTCTAACCAGTCAGACAGCATTAATATGCCACGCAGTCCATTGGTGATATATTCTGAGCCAAAGATCAATTTCCCCAAGTTGCCCCCACCTCCCCTCTCTTCCTTTATATCAGACAATCATTCCTCTCTGTGTGTGTGTGTGCCAGCAGGCTCAATGTGTGTGTGTGTGTGTGTGTGTGTGTGTGTGTGTGTGTGTGTGTGTGTGTGTGTGTGTATGTGCATATGAGTGAGCATGAGAACATGTGTATCTGTGTGTTGTGACGTATATGAATGCAATCGGATGATGAGCTATGGCTTGTGCATGCTACAGCGCTGCTGTAATAACCAATGAATCACAGCCGGGCCTCCGTCTGACAGCAGCAGGCCCTTAAAACCAACAAACACACAACAACATCCACTCACACACACGCAGGAAACACTACACCCCAAGGCTGCATGTGACTATGGTAATTAGCTGTTATGTCAGCCATAGCCACTTACAACAATAACCAAAGTCTAGTCATGAATTGTGTTATTTGGAAAAGTTAGTATTTGAGTAATATGTGATGCATTTTTAAGCTGGCCTTCACACTTCAAATCCAGGACAGCAATATAACACAATGTTTTTTTTATGGATTTAGAAGTAGAGGAAACTTGAAGAGTTCAAATGCAAACTCACTTCTCAGTTTTAGGACTCTTTCCTGAACTATATACACTGGCAAAAGTGAAACGTTGACCTTCATTTAGAATAGAGAAGCAATTTTACAGAAATATTTTCCCGTGAAAATCACACTGTCATGTGTAGTTGAAGTGACTGCAAAGGCCAAATCTGATTAATTTTACTCAATAAATAAATAAATATGTATTTTGGGTATATCAGAAAATGTAGCTGTACTTGTGATCTGCTGCTTTTGTACTATTAACAACCTGTTATTCAAAACAGCCTTATGGTGTGACCAATTATCGATATATTGTATTTCATTGATTACAAGACCGGGGTGGTGGTTCCCCTTTTTGTATTTCATTGATTACAAGTCTATCCTAGCATTTAAAGATTTCATAAATGCTACTGTGACTGTTCATGGGCAAACAGATTCCATTCAAGTATTAATATATACATATTGTATGAGGCCAAAAACCATGTGCATTTGCTTTTAAAGAATGTTCCTGTTTCTTGTTTTTGTGAATTACTTCCAGGGGTTTATCTTCATTTATCTTCAATGTGGTTACATAACAAATACAGTGAAACCACTTACACATCATGGCAAATCCCAGTTGCTTTTACAGTTTCAGTTTGAAAATGCAGGGTCAGTAGCTGTCAGTGATCTTGGCCGGCCTTGGACCAATCATGGTGCTCCAATATGACGGAGCCCAGAGTCGATGTGAGGTCGCCCGCCCTTCCAACTTGCACATTTTTCCGCATATGTTAAAAAGGCCCGAGCCGCTTGCCTTGTTACTTTCCTGCCTGCATTTTGCATTTTAATCTTATTTGTTGTGTTCTGGAGAACGCCGCTGCCAAACGCGCATGCACGCACGCACGAACGCACGGACGCACGCACGCACGCACGGTCCACGCACGTCCTGCTTTGCATACACTCAGTCTAGGACACAGTCAATCAATCAGTATTACATTTCCCTCATTGTCCTTCATGCCCATGCAGTCTATTTTACTCAGTCACCAAAAAACACACACATGAACGTATGTATGCACACACACACACAGACCTCTTTCTGTGACGCACACACACCTCAAATAGGCCTAGGCCATTATCTATCTATGATCAGAAAACATTAGCGGAAGTCTGACCTCCACTCTCATTGGTGATCACCCCTTGGACCCAGAGTATCGTAGTGTGTGTGTGTGTGTGTGTGTGTGTGTGTGTGTGTGTGTGTGTGTGTGTGTGTGTGTATACATGCATGTGTGTGAGGCGTGTATGTCTTTTTAACCTGACCTTAAGCCTTTATTACAGATTTCCTCTTTTCCTTTTAGGAAGTAGGGCTTTTTAGTAACAATTTTTATTTGAACTCGCAAAAGTAACACAGTGTTTCTGTGGATTTTACACATTTCTTACAATTTAGGGGGAAAACATTTTCTTTTTCTGGGATTCCTTAGTATGAAAGGTCTAGAGAAAGTGTTACAGTTCACTATGACAGATTTCAACATAGAAAATATTTTAGAAGTTCATTTAGTTAATTGACAAATCTTGCAAATCTTGTCTGAGGCTTTGCAGACCCTTCATTCACCATGACCACCCCCTACCAATTCTGCATGTTGGATACATGTAGAAGATTAAGTTAGTCAATTTGATCTTATATGTACAGAATTTACTTACTGTATGACCTACATTTTACTTGCATTTTATGACTTGCACTTTTTTTTATTGCACTATTTTGAATCCCTTAACTATTGTGTGTTGGACTGTTGGTGGGGCCTGGGATTTAAACTGATTGCAAGCCAATTTGAAATATTTTAGAATTTGAATGATATCCTTCAGACCAGAACTACGGCAGTAGACTGGTTACAGTAAAAATATAATCAAAGAGCGGCGGGTGTGTGATAACAATTCTAACGTACTGGTGACCCCATTTTGACATGTATTAGAAATGTAACTGATATAGGATACATACTTTAAAAGTACCTCTCTGAAGAACCAGCACCTTACCATGGTGGAAAGGTTTGTGTGCCCTGATGAACCTGGGGGCTGTGTTGTCTGGAACCTTGTGTTCCTGGTAGGGTCTCTCATGGCAAATTTGTCTCAGGCAAGGGGCCAGACTAAGATTGGTTCAAAGAAAGAAGACACACGAAGTGAGGATACCCGGCCCGGAGAGTCCCTGAAAAAGCAACGTGGGCAACACCTCTGCTTCTCCGTCCCGCGGGCCCACCACCTACGGGAAACAGCGATGGGGTCGGGTGCGCTGCCAGAAGGGTAGCAGTGAAAGCAGAGGGTCTCGACGGACCAGACCCGGGCGACTGAAGCTGGCTTTGGGGACGTGGAACGTCACCTCTCTGGGGAGGAAGGAGCCGGAGCTGGTGCGGGAGGTGGAGCGTCACCAGTTGGATCTGGTTGGGCTCACCTCTAAGCACAGCGTTGGCTCTGGAACCTTACTTCTGGATAGGGGTTGGACTAAATCCTTCTCCGGAGTTGCCCAAGGTGTGAGGCGCGAGTGTGGGGATACTCACAAGCCCCCGGTTGGGTGCTTCGTTGTTGGAGTTTATCCCAGTGGACGAGAGGGTCGCCTGCGGGTTATGGGGGGGAAACTCTGACTGTTGTGTGTGCTTATGCACCAAACAGCAGTTCAGAGTATTCAGCCTTCTTGGAGACGCTGGAAAGAGTCCTGTATGGGGCTCCTGAAGGGGACTCTTTAATCTTGCTGGGAGATTTCAACACACATGTGGGCAATGATGGAGACACTTGGAGGGGAGTGATTGGGAGGAACGGCCCCCCTGATCTAAACCGGAGTGGTGGTTTGTTACTGGACTTCTGTGCTCCGGGGGGAGGTCACTGAGGTCGTCAAACAACTTCACAGTGGCAAAGCCCCGGGGGTGGGTGAGATCCGCCCAGAAATGCTGAAGGCTCGTGGGTGTTGGAGGGACTGTCATGGTTGACG